AACGTTAAAAGAAAATAAAAGATTATTTTGTTATGACAAACTATTTGCAGTAGATAACTCACAACAGAAGATAGTGACAACAGGAGATCAAGCAAAACATTCGTCAAAGGAAACAGACACAATATTTACACCTACAGAAATACCTTATTACAAAACAGGAATAAAAGCCATAATTTCACGAAAAACAGAAAAAGTTGAGTTAGACATCCAGGTTGCCTTTATCATAGATAGAATACAGCATTTACTGTAATAATAAAATTCATAAAAGAAAACACAAGACTATTATGTGAAGCACTTACACTATGTAACGATGGCTACATACCACAATAAAGCACTACTGGCTACCCTCAGACCTACATAGGTCACCACAAGGCAAGAGAAGACAGAAAAGAAAGGATGCCTCCAGAATCCTTGACTCAGTCCTGCTTGGGAGCCTGGAGTCATAAGAGGGTTTGCAACACCTTTCCTGGACTTGTGAGTGATAAGCAGGGATTTGCAGACATTGAATGTGGGGGAGGGGGGAATCATAACCATGCAGCCCTGTAAAAACAGCATTACAAGTGCTAGCAGCAGGCCATAAGCTCCGTATCAAGCCGCAAGGCCTCACGACTGACGCTTGTCAGGTTTGCTCTGTCTGAACTTTTCTTGACCTGCCTTTTACTCAGTTTAGCTTTGACAGCAGCTTCTCTAATTGACTAGATGTCTATGGCTAATTTATTTTATTTTTGTTTACCTTGGTGTGATATAACCTCCTGCTATCCTCCCTAGAAAGAGGCATTTACAATGATGTTGAGAAATACTGGCCTAGTATGACAACAGAGGCCCTGAGAAGTGGAGAGACAGGATGCAGTACAGAGGAGTACAGGCATGGATAAGAGATGGGGCACAGGCTTGCCACCAGAGCCCCCATGGCTATAAACAACTCACTAATGGTCAGTTGGGGAAAAAAAAAAGCAGACCTGAAGCTGGATAAACCTGGCTTTAGGGGTAACAAAGAAATAGTAACTAACATACATAAAGGGCACCATATATAGTAAATTCAGATATAACCTGGAGCTGTAGACCAAAGAAGAAAGAAAAGAGGTGTAAAAGCATATTAGCAAACATACAAAAAAAACCCCAAGTGGATCCTAGAGGGAGGAAGAAGAAACAGGCAATGTCAACATCATACTTCTCCCAACAAATGACTCCCAAGGCTGATGACCTTCTGTTATCCTCTCCAACAGTCCAAAGCTGCTGACTTAAAAGACCCACAGCAGCAATGGAAGGGTGAAAGTAACTCCAAAGGGGCAGAAATCAAAAAGTGCGTGTTAACAGTTCTAGCTGTGTTTGGCAACATTTCCCCATATGCAAGTACTCTAACTGCAATATTCTTCTCAATTTTTAAGAATTAAATGTAGACTAATGATTCTTGAGTCAGACTGTTAGGATTTCCATTATACTAACAATAAATTCTTGGCTTTACTTAAACACACACGTTATTTTTATGTACACACAGACACATGCACTCTTTGCCCATAAATAAGAATGTAACAACATTGATGGAATCCTCCATTCCTTCTCCCATTTTGCAACTCTGAAGAGCATTTTTAGTCTTTAAAGTGTTACAGGAAAATTACAGCATAATAACAAAGTCTGAAACAGTCCCAGAAAAAGCAACCAAATGAGCCATCTGAACTTGTAACACATTCCTCCCCTGGAGGAAACTTTTTGTGCCAGGGTGACCCGGTCAATGTTGTTTTGTACCAAAGGGCCTTTCATACATGTATATATGCTCCTACAATAGCACCTAAACACAAAAACCAGTGAGCTAAGCAGTCACTGTCTGCACTTTCTGTTTGAAGAAAGAAGTTCTAGATATCATAGAAGACACTCGATTTCTTTAAGAAACCCTAAGAACAGGAAGGAAACATGGCCAAGCTGATAAGCATCCACACTCTTAAGAGTAGGAAGGATAGGAATTTGGGTTGACTTCCTGGACAAGGGCCCAGACAGGAGGAATACGAGCAGAGAGCAAGAATTGGGTCAGCAAACTACTGAATAGTTATCTGTCCTAGTTTTCAAATACCCACTGAAGGTACTCTTACCCTAGGCCAACTGGATCTGTAAGGGGTGTTAATATGGGTAGAACTATTCAGATAAACTGTTCTGGAAAGAAAAAAAAAATACCTTATGCTGACACAACACCTACTGTCAATGGAGTTAGCAAATAAGGGATCTCATTCTAGTGTAAGTTACCTTATTTTTCTTACAGAAAGAGAATAATCCAGTGTATTTTTGATGCAGACTAACTACCATGTCCATGGCTGTGACAGAGAGGCAACACAGCTCTTCAGATTCATCTGATATGCACAGACAACTATCATCAATATTGAGAAAATGAAGGCAAAGCTTCTCAGTAGAGACCAAGTGCTACACATAGAAGCCAACCACTGATCTGTATGCCAAAGATGTACTTGGAAACCTAGCTGAGAACTCTATACAGGGGGTCAGATGTAAACAGAGCATAAACACTGCCTTATACACTTCTAAAATCCCAAGGTATACCATAATGAAAAGCATGAAAGATTCTTCCAGTATTGACAGCACAGTAGTGGCATGTATGCTTTTGGGAAAAAAAGTAGACACTGAGATTTGTAAGTCCTAAGAAAAGTCAATAATCAGTGTTGTGAATTTAGTACATTAGAAGAGAGCAGAAGTAAAATCTTGGAGGACAACTGACCTGCCCAGACAACCAAGCAAGCCCTGACCTACGTAGACAAGCAAGCAGCTGTAGCTAAGGAAACAAGAATACAAAGTGACACAAGCCTTGCATTTATGAAATACAAAATCTGGTATCTATTTTTATCATGTGCTAGTTAATCAGTAATAGTTCAGAAATTTTACATCACATTTTACACATTTATTAAATTATTTGAGAAAGGATCTGCTTTGCAATAGCAAAGGAAGTTTTATTTAAAACCAGAGCTGACCACTCAAAATTGCAGTAGAATTTCAAAACAGCACAATGTTTCCCAATCTTCATGACTACAACAGCAGCACCACCACCCAAAACAACAAGAAAAAGTAAAAAGACCGAGCATTGCCTGTCAGCCAAGGTAAGGTCACAGAGTTAGCAGATACTGACCTCAAACACAAAAAGAAGTTCTTGACACAGCAAATAGGTAAACCTTGGAACTCCTTGCTACAGGATGAGGATTCACAGTGAAAGTGGACAAACACACAGGATAAATCCATCAAAGGGTGTTAAGCACATGAAGCCACCTCTAGCTCTAGAAGCTCCTAAATATGAGTGCATATCTATCATATATTGCTTGCATATTCATGGTTAGAAGCTATTTTCTTCCTTAGGGGATGGGCATCCTTACTAAAACCTTAAGAGTCCTCTCTGAGGAAAGAGAGAAAGGGTCCTAATGAATAAAAACAAAACAAAGCCAGGAAGAAGTCAAATGATTAAGAAAATTAAAAACCCCACAGAAAAAAGGATGAGGGTTGAAACAGAAAATTTTTCAGGGACACCAAGCAAAGCACCCTAACAATGCCAGGAAGCCCCCAAAGGCATCCAAGAAGCCAGTAGGCACTACCCTGATGCTCTGGCATCGACTTATATAAGAGGACAAGGGAACAGAAAAAACCCATAGCTGCCAGAATCTCATTTGCCAAGTTTCTTCCTTCTCCCCTGAATGGCCAGCTTGGCTGGGACTGGTAAGTGGTCCTGCAACTTGGCCAGGCTTCAGACTCAAAGGGTATAAATAGAAAGGTTAGGGACAAAGCACAGTCAAAGCCTCAGTAAGATGCTGCAACCTGGCACATCTGGCGCACATGGGGATTTCATCCTGCAGCAGAGGGACATATCAAGTGAACCATACCATGAACACACCCATAGCTCAACTCTCACCCTACCCCTCAACTTGTTCCCACAGTGAAACACAGAATTGGCTGAGCACAAGCCAGCGTAAAGCTTCTTGGTCTTTCCACCTCAGGCAGGAGGTCTTGTCACTCTGTGTAAGGGTGGGACACAAAGGCAAGAAAACTGAGGAAGTGGAGCAGGAGAATGTGCAAATGTTTCTGTAGCACGGCTTGGAGGCAGACTGGGTAAATATCACACAGCCTACTTGGGTTACACACAACAGGGTGGTCAGAGGGTCTCAAGGGGCAGAAGCTTAAGGCAGGAGCTCCTCAATGAAGGTAGGATCCTGAACCAGAGGGACTTCTAGTTTAACCCAGCCTGGTTTATGCTATAGCTATTCTGGAATTCCAAGTTTCAATGGAATGACTCACCTTTTTCCAGAGACTCAAGGAAATGAAAACATTCAGTGTGCCCCAACTTTGATTCTTACATACAGACTAGATAAAATCTGTTAACCACCGATTCTTACCTTCTTCCACAAATAGTGTTTAAACTGTCACATGGCAATTTGATGTCATTGATTTCCATTGCCAAAGTGAGAACAATACGAGAAAAGGTTTAAGGAAAAACTAAAAAAAAAAAACCAACTAAAAAAACCCACAAAACACCCCAATGAAACCAATCCAAAACGAAACAAACAACCCCCACAAAGATGACCAAAACCTGAAGAAAAAAAAATCCAAGAAAACCCTACCCTACCAAATACATGACACACTGCTACAGTTTCCCTCCTAAAAGGGAAAAGAATGACTAGTTAAAGTCCCATCTCTGACTGGTTTATACTCTCACGCATATACCTAGCACTCATCTCAACTATCAACTGCAATTTGGAAGCCAAGCTTGTCATATTAAGTTTCACCTCATTTCAGAAACATACAAATTTCTTGTAAGCCTCAGTCCTGAGAAATACAACTTAGAACAATGACACAAACAGATCTTGTATCATCCCTGTGGAGTAACACACAGTAGTTATCTTAACCACCAAAATACATTTCCCAAAACCACCCAGTATTCCTAATCTCTAATTTGTTACTGCTCTCTGACAAATAACTGTGCTACCTATAAGGAAGCATAGATCAATTTTTCTCACCTCAAACTTGTCACTGTTTCTTGATGTTTGTATTCAAGCTTGGGAAGGTTACAGTCCAAGATTCCTACAAAAAGGACGTGAAATCAACATGAAGGCTGTTTCACCAAGTTAGCATAAAACTAGATAATAAATTTATGCAGACAGGGAAAAAAAATCCTTAGAGTATGCATGCTATACAGCAGTTATTAAACATTTACAGTGGATGACAAAATGCATGCATCCCATTTAAATTAGAATCCTTTGATTTTTGTAGGCTCGCTCACCAAGACAACTTTGACTTAAATAAAACTCCACATAGTTACAGCTAAATTGTATGAAGATGCATCAGCACAAAACCAAGGAAAGCAGGAAATTCTTTAACCATCTCAGCTACATCATTCTCCACAAAATGTTCAATATAACTCCAGGTACTATATTTTATTCAAACCCTCTGCGAAACAAATCTCTGCCCCAGTACTTGTTAAAACTGATTTATTACTGTCAAATACATTAATCTGCATGTTAATCTGCCTCAGGTCACTTAAAGTTAGTCAGAAAAGACTTTTGTCAAGCCATATACAATGTTGCTTTTGGTCCACATGGGAGTTTGAAATCAGAGCTTGGGAGAGATCCTCTATGACATAAATATTACAGCATGAAAACAGCAAGGAATGCAGACTTTTTCTGTAATCCATTTCCATTTTCTCTGCTTCACTTCATGGCATGTTGTTAGAGCCTAAAAACTTCACTAAATGAAGGCTGAGTTTATCTTAGGATCTTGTGTCACTGGAGTTATAAAGCATACAGCACTCACATACCAGCTTCAAACTGACATTCATTGCACTCCCATGGAGGAAGGAAGGTTTTGTAAGTTATACAATCTACTTCATCCATACTTCACGTAGTATACGAGACAGAAAAGCTGGCTCAAACATTACACGTATTACATTATATACAATAAGTACTGGTAATATTTCTATACAAAGTCTTATACCCAACAGTTTAAAGCCTTCCAGCTGTATGGCTTCCTTATTCAGTATTTCCAACAAAAAGCAGAATTGGTTTTCACTAACAGACCGCTTGCCTCCTAATACAAGCAGTTCTCTAGACGACTTACCAGATGATCCAAGATTTTCAGCACAATCAAATCAAAAGTTCAAAGAAAATAAAGACAGTTGGACAATCACTGAAGAGAAGCAGTTTTAGCATACACATCCTGCATGTTTGCTTAGCAACTGGATCACCATCAGCACAATATGCTGATATAGGTCTATTACTGGTCACATCCCCTGAAGAAGCAGTCTCCAATGCAAGCAGCAGTAACGCATACATTCTACACCTTTCCTTTTTATGTCTGCCTAGCAATTAATTTTAAGTGCCAGTAATTCTCACTTGCTCCATCATTAGTATGACTAAACATCATTCTACAATAGGAATTATGCAACTATGCTTTGGTCAACCCCAAATACCACCACTATTACCTGTGACTTTGAATGTTGTAACAAATAATATGCTGATAAACTGTTCATTTATTACAAAGACATTACTTAGATTACCACCCAGTTCAGGAGTCCCTTCCGCTTGAAATGAGAAAGTGTTCAAATATTCTGTTACCTCAGAACAAGATCTCCAAGAAGGGAGCACCAAGTTTTATGGGAGTTTTAATCTCTACATAGGATAAAGCCTCTCAAAAGGTAGTAATATTTCAGGTGGTACTACAAGAACTACTGGACACATCATACTTACTGCTAAAAGAACAGGAATGTGGAATTGTACCTTTTCAAGGATGACCTTAGTCTGCACAAAACATTCATGTGAGTCTTGCAGGCAGATAAGCCCTCAGGCACTTGCATAATAATTATCTATTGAAAGAGAGCCAAGACATGAGTTTTCAGAGGAAAACACAGTCATGGGTTCTGCGATCATGCTTTGTTTTTCACAAAGACTTTACTGTGATGTGTAACAAGGAGGTATTTGAACCGGTTAACTGATACAGAAGTAGTCAGCTGGAAAGGGCTTACATGGAAGAATGAAAAGCTAATGTCCTTCTGAAAGCATCTTGTACCACTTTTCCAACAGCATTTTAAGACTCTGCTGCTCAAAACCCAAAGCGGACCTAGCTTACCCACAGCCATGCAGAGCTGTACTGTTACATCAACCCTGACTTTATCTGAGTATTTGAGATTTTTTGGTATCATCTCCCTTTTCCTACGCTGACCCTACACTGGAGTCCTTCCAAATCAGTTGACATAACTGGCATTTTCAACCGCATCACGCGCTAGCTAGATATTTTGGACAGAAACATTTATGCAAGCGCTGTGAAACCTGGTCAGCCTCTCTCGCTCTCTATCATTCTAAGTTTGCCTTCACAGCAAAAGACAGGAAATATCCTACCTTTAAACTTCAGAGTATAGGATCAAGACCAAATTACAAAAGTTTTACAGATACAATAGCTATAACCAATGCACATCTTCTCAATTATTTTAGCAACAAATACCTCCTACTGAATCAAACATTGGATTTTTGTAACCCAGAAAGTTTTAATGTTTTATTACCGATCCTCCTCCTCTATAGTCCTAGTTGATTTAAGAATGCCAGAACACCTATGAAAAATCCTAATAAGAAGAAAAGGAGGCTTTGGCAAATCATGCTGTGTTTCTGGAGAATGATCTAAAAAACTGCACAAAAACACCCACCACCAAAAACTATTCCTTTATATCCTTCATAGGAGTGAAATGAATAATTCATAATTATCAGGTGGTCAGAGAAATTTCGTGTTCCTCTTCTATACCAAAAACATATTTTAAAATTGCCCCTTAAGAAATATCTTACAAATCAAGTCTAAGCTACCTAGCAACTTACTTCACTGCATTAGTGAAGCTCACAAAAAGGAAAGGATTTTTATAATACATCCATTATTGAACTATTTCTGTAATGCTACAAAATTCATATGGTTGCCAATTATTAAAAAGTCACAGAGCAGGAAGCCAAAGAGCAGTTGCACTTAACCATAGACATTAAGACCATCAGGACACAAGCCTTTTTTCAGCATCTGCCTCTTAGCTTGGAATATATAAAGGTCAGAAAACCACTAAGTAAACTTTTTGTTGACTTTGTTATGCTTTTCTCAGGACACCCACCTCAGAAAATAATCCATTTTGTTCCCCACTGAAGGTGCTGCAGGCAGAAAGCCAATAGTTGGCACTTTGTCACATAACTACTTTAACAAGAATTATGAATAGGCTCTTCCTTCTATTTCTACGGTCATGTTCCATTAAAACAAAAAAACTATTTGCCTAAAAGATTAATACTGAAAACAGCAGAACATTGCTGTTATCAGCCTTGCAATGCTATATGCTGTTCTAGGGAATACACAGACACACAAATAATTGCTTAAACTAACGCAATTTGCAAAGCACACTGTTCCTCACACGCAAATTGGTTGTATCATCCCGTAGTGTCAGAAAGTACAAGATTCCACCACCATTAACTTATCTCCACAGCACTAGTATTTGTCTAATAAATGCCCACAAATTCCACCAGCCATGGAGACCAAGACATAAATTAAAGCATTAGGAAGGAAAACAGAAAAAGTACATCCTTCAGTTTATGCCAGGGAATGGCAACCCCTAAATCTCAGGAGCAGCCCACTAGGAAATGCAGTGCTGTATTCTTCATAACAAAAGCATACCTGAACTGTCAGCTAAGAGAAGCCAAAATGCATGTTCAGTAGCTCTTCATCTCAAGTCCTACTAGCCATCCACTTCCTTGTTTCAAATGCTAAAATCCCTTTCCCTGCAGGTAAAAGCTTGCCAGTACTCTCAGGACTGAGAGTATAGCCAGCCTCAGCTATACTCTGCATTGCATGGCTTTTTAAAACAGCTCCCACTGCAAACTGGGAGACAGATATAAGTATTTCTAGTACAAGCAGGAGTTAAAGATTAGCTGAAGGAATTTTACCACTAGCTAAAGGAATTTTACCAGTCAGATTTAATCTAAGAAGCCAGAGGTAGTATTTGCTCTCTGAAGGCAGCTTTTACTGCCTCAATTCAATTATTCCATTTTCATCAGAAGTTCTGCATTTTACCAAAACTCAGAAACAATGTATAGACATATGTGGACTTTAAGTCCTTATCATGGTAACACGTCCAAAACCTAGTATCACCCACCAAGCAGTTTGCACAAGAAATCAGAAGAACACAAACAAGTGCCTTTAATAAAGGTCTGCAGAATTATGCGAGTAATATGTTTCATACAGCAAGAAGGTCCATGTCACGTTCCCTCCAGAAGAACAGCCTATTTATTCAAATATCCATAAACATCCAATTTACTAAAACACACTTACGACAACATTTTGAGAAAATCATACTAGTCGAGCAATAAACATATCCATCAGTAAGGAGGTAAAACAGGAACCTCACCAGAATGCTGTCATTAAAACAAGAGAAAAGCCTACTAAAGGTTCCTACCAACAAAACAATCCTTACCTAAAAGCTGCAGAACTGCTTAACACACCCAGTGATCTCCTAAGGAAATCTGTGGCATATAAATTGTCATCCTCTAGACCTAAACAGAGCAGCACAATTGACCTTGGCTTCAAACAAGGAACGGCAGTCTCTGCAATCCTCTAAGCAGATGGAACTCAACGGGTTCGGGAAAACAGCATTTAATTTGGTTAAGGAGGAAAATTGGACGAACAAATACAAAAAAAGGCTTTGGCATACTTACAGTAAGTCAGCCTAGCCACACCTTACCTTTGAATATATGCAGATGATCATAGCTACATTTAGAAAAACAACAACTCACGTCGGCAAAGACAGCTAGACTTTTACATGACCTATTCAAATGCAGGCAATGTTGTAACATTATGACATCTATATCTAATGTAAGTTTGGTTTTAAATATTAGATGAAGAAACAAGAATGCTAACCATTTTGAGATAAAATACTGCCAGAACGAAGAGTATAAGAGAGGGTAAAAAAAGGAAGTAGCCTTTCCTGCAGCAGGTCTCAACAGAAGTTTGCAATGTACTTAGATCTGCTGGCAGAACACTGCAATACCCATTTTAAGTATTCAGACTAGACT